GCAATGAGCACGATGAGCAGCAGTAGGCCTTCTTTCTGGTACTTGATGAAGGCTGTGTGGCTGAAACTTGGGATGAATCCCAACTCGTATGCGGTTTTCATCGGGATTGGATGGGCTTTTATATCAAGCAGGTGGCATATTGAGTTGCCAAGCATCATGGAAGGATCTGTTTTAATCATGTCAAAAGCTGGTACAGGCACTGCCATGTTTAGCATGGGTGAGTGACACACTGACACTGATACGTATATATGTTCTTTTATATATATGTATGTAGATATATGTGTCGTACGTTTTGATATTCATATGTATGCATGTATGTATGTATGTATGTATGCAGGTATCTTCATGGCACTGCAGGAAAAATTCGTGGCGTGCGGGACGAGCCTGACTATAATAGGGATGGTTTTGAGGTTTATTGCTGGACCAGCAGCCATGGCTATTGGCTCTATCGCTGTAGGCTTGCATGGTGATGTTTTACGTGTTGCCATCATTCAGGTAACTCCCAATTTGGCTTTATTTAATTTGATGCTTGGTCAGATCTGACTAGTTCCCAACGCCCCACAATTATTTTCGTTAATGGGTATTAACTTTTATTAAAGAAATTGAAGCTAAGTAGCGCACTAATTGTTTGTTTTTATGCTCACTAATTAATTTGATATGAATTGTCAACTTGGACTTGAGCATATTGCAGGCAGCATTGCCGCAGTCCATTACCTCCTTCATATATGCCAAAGAATACGGACTCCATGCAGAGGTGCTCAGTACAGCGTATGTAGCTGCCTCTCCTTATTAACATATTTAATTAAAGAAATTCCTATTTCTAACTGATCCAACTCATGTGTGTGTGCATGCAGGGTGATATTTGGCATGATAGCGTCCCTTCCATTGTTGATCGCTTACTACGCAGTTCTAGAATTTGCGCATTGACGACGTTTCAACCAATCCAATGGATCGCGGTCGAGGGGAAAGAAAGATGATCGCTGCCTTGCTCCTGGTCCTCATTTGTTTGAAATTTTGTTGTTTTTGGTTTCTGTATGATCATGGCTTAAAGCTACAGAGGCTAATTAAATTAGTGTTGTACTTGCCGAAAACTTGTAATCTAATTCACATTATTATCCTAATCTCATTCAACCCAGAAATGAGTCTTGCCTTCCTCTTCCTCAGGAGGCTGATTGAAAATGAAAACCCAAATGACAGGCCCATACTGGTCGTTTTAGTATTTTTCTGCTTTGGGCTTTGGAAAGCCACGTTCATTGAGAAGGGACTTATGTTTGAATCTTGATTGCGGGAGAGATTATAATGAGGAGTTTAAAGTAAGGAGGCTATTTGAGAAAGTCAATCTCACCATCAACAAATGTAAAGAAATCATGAGACTTAAATATTTTAAATGTTTTGATGGTGGGATTGGTCTCCTCAAATAGCCTCCTACAATTCAACAATTTGGACAAACTTTGATTCGTGATATCATAATCATTGGGAGGGAGCGGGACCACATCATTGATATTTTTTATAGAAATAGAAGAGGAAAAAGAAAACAATTATTGTCCATTCATTTTCATGTCTCTCTCATTTATTTATACACACAAAATGAAAATGAGAATGATATGCCCATGCCATGATGAGAGTTGATTATAGAAAACGTAGTGAAGGAGAAGCTTGCGATGTGAAAATGTACGAGTTTTTTAGTTTTTAAAATTTCCTTTGCCTTTTGCCTTTTACCTTTAACTTTTTCTTTTTCTTTTTCTTTTAAATTAATTTTAATTGATGTGTTGTCCAGCTCATTTGCCACATAAGTATGAGAATGTGGTATACAAATGTGGTAAGAGTAACATTATTCATATATAAATATGCAACTACTTGCTGCAACGTAACACAGATATATTGTAGACATAAAGCGTTTGTTACACGCTTTTTTTTGTTTGGATAACTCTCTCTTACTTATGCCAGAAGCCGTTGCATATAAATTCTAATCTAAGAGAACGATAAAAAGATAGATGCCATTTATTTATTTATTTATATTTTTATAAAAGTAAAACTGATGAAATCAAAAGATTAAGATACAACAAGGTTGATAATGATATTATGTCGTGAAGAAAGTGTTGTTTTCTCATCCAATTAAAAATCTGCAACATACGTACAATTTACAAGCTAAGACGACACACCATCCACCAAAAATTTTAAATTTTAATTTTTTTGAAAAGGAAATAAAGAATACAAATTTATAAAGAAACCCATAACGTGACAACATGTTGTCCTTCCTTTCCAAAAATGAATGAATGGGTCTGTCTGTGTTAAGTATCAGAATTTTGTAATTATTGTCTACTTTTGCTCCTAATTAATCGCTCTTATTTATGATTGATGATTAAATTAAATTAAATTAAATTTGTGGAGACTAGTTTTACTTATAGAAAGGGAAGAGAAGAAGAAAGATCGTGAGAGTTGTGCTTCCCCACTATTTTTTTGACTAATGTTGTGCGTGTTATTCGGGTTTCTCTTAACAAACACCCTCTGCCTCCTGCCTCTAGACTCAATATGTTTTGTTTTGTTTTACGGTGTGATCATCATCATGTGATCATTGGTGGGTACCCAATCTTAATGCTGATGCTGCTCCTGTGACGCTCTTGTTTCTTTTTCTGATACACTGTTTCTGGGTTCCTCTTCCTGTTCCTGTTCATCTATGATCAATCATTCATCATCTTCATCGTGTTTTCTGCAACACATTCTGTTGTGTTCATCCTAAAGGGAAGAAACGAAACAAGAAAGAACAGAAATCTGTTTGTTGTTGCATGATTTCTGTTCATCGTTTTCATGTAAAAATATGAAGTCCTCCCCCAATTCTGTAAGCACTCTCTTCTTCGTCTTTCACCATATATATATATATATATATACACACACACACACACTGATATGAATTATGATGCTTTTCTTGCTCTCTTCTTCATTTTATATTCAATCAATATTGTAAATCTTCTTGATTTTGTATTCAATCTCTTCTTTATTTTTATTTTGTTAAGAATGTTTTGAGAAGGAAAACTTTTATACGGCCATTAAAATTTCTTGACATTTGTTTTATGACCTCCTCTTCTCAGGTGACTTTACGTGCAGATCCAAGAAGCGGGAAATCACGCCTTTGTAACGTTCTCCCGGCAGCTTCTCTGCTATGTCTACTGTTTCTCATACTCACCTTATCATCAGAGTACAAAGAAGAGGTATGTATGTATGTATGGTTCATCTTGCTCTTCTCATCAAATTATCTGCAGTTTCCCTTAAAATTAGAATTCAAAGTTCAGCTTCTGACTCAGTATGAGGCTTTAAGAAGGGAATTTTAATCATTCTGATAACCACTACTGTTCTGGGTTCTCTTGCACAGAAATCATCACTTTGGAGAGTCACAAACAGCTTGCAGAATCTAAAGAACAAATGCAAGGTTTGTTAATCATTCCATACCGATTTTATACATTATATATATATATATATATATATATTCCACGAAACTAGTCTATTCCGTCCTGCATCTTTAGTCTTTCCTAGAAAATGAGTTTTGGGGATTTATTACTTATAATTGTTTCTCTGTTTTAGAATCAATACAGGCCTTATGGAAGTGAGGCATTGCCTCAAGATATTGTCTCCAAGACTTCTAATTTGGAAATGCGGCCCTTATGGAATGAAAAAAAGGTAAGGTAGGTTTATGGAATCATGGATGGAACTTCTCATTAGTAATCCTTCAGTTGATGTGTTCCCTTGAATTGGGAGGATATATGTTTGTGTATGTGTATGTAACCTTTGCATCCTGTTCCAAGTGTAAGTGCTGAAGGTTTATATTAATTTTTTACTCTTGCACTGTTTTACCAGAAACGCTCAAAATCTTCAGTTAACTTGTTGGAGAAGAAAGGTGCAAATTCAACTAATTTATTTGCGATGGCTGTTGGTATAAAGCAAAAAGATCTTGTCAGTAAAATGGTCAAAAAGGTATTCCTATAAAGCCATACTCATAAAAGGTCCCAAGTAAATCTTTATTCTAAGCCCCAGCCCTACACCCCTTGAAAAAAAGAAAAGAACTGATGATAATTCTTTTTCTTGTTCATAGCTGCACAAGTAATTGCCTTTCACTCTCCATATTGCAGTTTCTGTCAAGTGGTTTTGTTGTGATGCTTTTCCATTATGATGGTATCGTCGATGAGTGGAAGGAATTTCAATGGAATGATCTTGTTATTCATGTATCTGCAATCAATCAAACTAAATGGTATGAGTCTATCCTTGCATGACTGACAAGAGAACAGTTTTGATGGAAGTTGCATTACTGAGATGTGTTTTCTTGGTGATGGATTTCTTGATGCCTAGGTGGTTTGCCAAGCGTTTCTTACATCCTGATATAGTTGCTGAGTATAGTTACATTTTTCTCTGGGATGAGGACCTTGGAGTTGAAAATTTCCACCCCAAACGGTATTGTTGGCTGCATCTCTGTTGACAAATTTCTACATACTGAATTTAAGAGTTCCAAGCTACTTGCTGGTTCTTATATCCCACATGACAGTACATTTTATTTAACAAAATGCTTGATATTTGTCTTCTTCTTTGACACTTTTAGGTATGTATCCATTGTTCAAAAGGAAGGCCTTGAGATATCACAACCAGCACTAGATTATTCCAAGTCAGAGGTGCATCATCTAATTACTGCACGTTTGAGAGGATCGATAGCACACAGGTCTCTTATAACATTTTCCTTCCTAATACTAATATTTGTGATGCTAAAGGCGTGACAGTGATAATCCGACTTCCTGGTTAATTTGAAGCATCCTTTCAAGCAGTTGTTGACTATGATATTCGTGATGTACATGATTTTGGTCCATTTTGTCTGCAGAAGGACTTACAAGGCTAGTAACAATGGGAACGGTTGTGATGGAAGCAGTACAGCTCCCCCTTGTACCGGGTAAAAATGTGTTTCGACTACAACTACCTTATTTCAATTATTTGGCTTATACTATAAAGCTTAGAAATTTGTGTTGTATGAAATTTTGTGAAGGATGGTTTTCTCTGTGTGAGCTATTTTAAGAAAATTCTGGTCAGTTACTATTGTAGTTGCAGAAGTTATCTTACTTGAGGAAGGAAAATAAAATGAAAATCTGCATTTTTGCAGGTGGATAGAAGTGATGGCTCCTGTTTTCTCGAGAGCTGCCTGGCGCTGTGTATGGCATATGATCCAGGTGTGTTTTTTCTACTGTCCTGGAACTTCAAGATAGCTTTTCTATTGGCCTTAGAGCAGAAAGCACAACAAATTAGCCAAACTAATATGAGGCTCATATTTTAGTCAGGTGTATGGTGTTAAGTTGTCATTGATAAAAAAAAAATTAAGTTGTTAGAAGATATACCTAATACTCTGTAAATCAAGCTTGATTCATAAACACACATCCACTCTCCCTTTCATGTATGGAATCACAGAAACTACAAATCTAAATTACAGTGAAATGGTGTTAATTGTGATTTGATCTTTGCAGAATGACTTGATTCATGCATGGGGCCTGGATATGCAGCTTGGCTATTGTGCACAGGCAAGCTTCTCAGTTTACTTGTTATGTCGTTTTTTTATGCTTTCTTTTCTAAGCATTTCCTTAACGTTTCCTAAAGAGGCCTTTCTGGTTTTGGCGTTTAAATAGGGCGATCGAACTAAAAATGTTGGTGTTGTGGATGCTGAGTACATAATCCATTATGGTCGCCCTACATTGGGAGGCTCAGATGAAAATGAGGTGAGAAAATGTTTGCTGTCTTTGTGGTGCATATTTCCAGTCTGTCTGAGGCTGACTAGTTAATGTGTTGTTGGTATTTTGCAGGAATCATCACCAAAATCTAGTGGAAAGGACCATAGAGTTGATGTAAGTCTTGACATGTAATTTTTTCAGTTGATTAGGATTTTACTTGGATTAAAATTGTTTGTTGTGTATTTGTGTGCAGGTGAGGAGAGAATCTTACAACGAAATGAAGGTGTTCAAAAGGAAATGGGAACGAGCTGTCAAGGATGATAAATGTTGGATTGATCCATACAAGTAAGTAGCAAAGGTGGTTCTAGTGAGTGAGATGGGACAAGCTTAAGCTAGCTGAGATTAGGAATTAATATCATACACAACTTCACCAACTCAATGTTCTTTAGGATGCGATTGAGGGTTGCATTCATTTCACATTTAAGTAAGTCCGTGAGGCTGAATTTGTTTTGTTCTTCTTCTGCACAAGACAGTGGAAGTGTAAATGTCGGTATAGGGAGGGTATGAGGAGCAAGAAATCAACCCCCTCCCTCTTATACTTCAGTTCAGTGAGTAGTGACAGTGAGAACAGCATATCACATTCGTCATCTTTTTGTTCTTTGGAAGTCTTGTTTTACTCGAAGGTGTTGTGCACTGAAGTTTTGGTGGTAAAAGTGGTTGGTTAAGCGGTAGTAACTAGTATATTGATGGAGGAGGATAGTAGTTGTAAAGTATGACGTAGGTACATACTAAAGAGGAATGCAAACAAAGAATGAAGTAGACGCTGCAATTACTAATTGGTTTGGTAACCACAATATGTCTGTCAGCAGTGCTCTCTCTCTCTCTCTCTCTCTCTCTCTCTCTCTCTCTCTCTCTCTCCATTAAAAATTCAGATAGGGATGGAGCCTCCTCACATCTATCCGCATGCCTTTTTTCATTCACACATCTCTCTCTCTCTCTCTCTCTCCATTTATCTATCTTCTGTAATACTCAATGTGTTTATAATTCAAGTGGTCAAAAGCATTTATCTTTGCACTCGAGGTTCTAAGTTTGATTCCCCCCTCCTTTCCCCAATATTACTTGTATAAAAAGAAAAAACAAAAACAATACACAATTTGAATTTGCTACTTGTCAAACCCATACAAGTTAATAGTAAGCTAAATATATGTCCCACAACCATAACACAATGCAAGCAATCCAAAAACAAAAGGTTTAGTTTAGATTGTAGAATAGGAGGAGGAGGGAGAAAAAACAAGGAAAACGAAAATGGGTAGCGTGAAATGATTGGGCATTAGTGTGCATAGATAGTGTAACATCCATACATAGAGATAGAGGCTTACAGCTCATTTTTAGATAATTATTCAGCACAAGAGGAGAGGACACTTTTGTCAAACCCAACTTCCAAGTCATGCTTAAAAACAACTACTTTACAACTGGTTCACACTTCCAAGTCAAGCAAGCAACCAAGCGTTGTGTTGAGATTGAAAGAGGGCGACGGCCCTTGTGAAATTTCGTTGAGTTGACACAATGACAGAAATGTGAACGGGTTAGGATGGGAGGATTTTGCATAGTGTAAAAGTCAAGCAAACATGATAGCAAAATTATTAGGGAAGAACACTTGAAAATGGGATTTTGTTTTTTTAAGAATAAAAGAAAACACGACCTCAGTTAGACCAGTCAGCAGTGAGACCAGTAGTACTAGTGACCAGGCCGGCAGGGAAGTCCACAGGAAACTGAGGAAGGGTATGACATGATGAAAACGCAACGCCCACCATTTGATTGTGATTGTCAATTTGTCATATATCATATGGTCCTTTTCTTTTCCTATGAGAGCAGCACATGGGTTGTCTTGTTTTGTTGGCATGTTTTGCATATAGTCATCACAAATTCACGATTCACAATTCACAAACATAGGTCAATGAGATTCCCCAAAACACTCTTTTCAATACAACAAATCAGATCGATGTGCCTCCAAGCTCACAAGCTCGCCTACTGCATGCCCATTTCTGTCTGATGAGAAACAGTTGCATGAAATGGAATAATTCTGCTATTTCCGACCAATGACATGTGTAATAAATTTTTCATAACATAGCATTATTGGCCGAGAATAGCAAAAATGTTATCCCCATTACAACCAAGTTTTTCTCCTATATATAACTCTCATCAACCCCGCAACAAGCTATCTATCTATATAACCCAATTTCCACAGAAAACAGAGTTTTGGTCGATTGAGACTTTCACCTCTAACCCTCTCTACAAGGAGAGCATATTATTCATAATACAAGGGTTGTATAGAAACCAGAATAATACAAGTAATAAAGTTTACATTAATAGCCATCCAAGCCACTGTAGCAACTTTACTGGCTAAGGCTTAATTGCCCAACCTCTAGCTACCTTAACATTACTGTTGTCTACAAGCCTACACCTACATGCATATCCTCATCCACCTACAATTAAAATCAATCCATTTAGGGCTCCTCCACCACTACCAACATTTAGCAATCTCATATAGAAGTAATTCAATAGCTGGCAAGGCACCTCTCTCTCTCTCTCTCTCTCTCTCTCTCTCCCCCCGCCAATTAGGGTACCCATTTATCAAATCTTGGAGCCACTCAAATCAATACATAATCTTCTGCAACTTTGGCAGGAAGGGCATAATATGCAACATGCCCTTGTGTTTTACTAAACACACTTGAAATTCAAGCACTATTAGCCATAGCCATATCCTCCCTTTTGTTTTGGCTGGAAACAGGAAATGTAGCCACTTCAAAAGGAGAAGCATAAACTATTAAGTATCTATCTATTTACCCAATGAAATGCTTGAAATTGCAAATAAATACACAATAACAGATCATCAAACAATTCACTTTCTTCTAAACATCCAGTGCAAGACCAGCCAGAGTAGAAAGCAGTGCCATTATATTAGAATTTAGAAGCAGCCAAAACATTAACCAAAACATGTCTACTTCAATATGAACACGGCCCACTATTACAAATTAACAATTAAACATATAACAACAGCGGCACAAACACTAAAATAATAGACAATTTGAATCTTAATCCTTGTCATGAGTGTCACAGCAGCTCTACTGAGCACTTACATTAATTTATTGTTTTGAAAAGTCAATAAAATATCATAAGCCCCCAATAGCTCCATTAACAAGGACAATGTTTCCTCAAATACCTCACAAAATTATGCTAATCCTGCTATTCTAGCAATGTGCCATCTCCAGGCATTGCTTATTTCAGCAAAAAAATAATGGAAAATATCCCACTAGAGATTAGCAAAAACTAACCTGGAAATAGCACCCCTCCTCCCCACAACTGATAAAATATAAAATTTCTGAACTTATAAACAAACAAATCAAGAACAGATATTCTTTTTTCATCCAGACTCCCAACAAAATTAAGGTTACCCCAATTAAAACAATATAAACTATAAATTATTAAATATAAAATATAGGGAATATGGCATCCAAAGCAATTACAGGTCTTGGGAGTGAACGAACAGAAGCCAAAGGGCCGGTTGGGAATGTTGCAATTGATGGCATAGCAACAAGGAGACGGCAAGCAAAGTCCTTTGGCACCTCCGCAGCAAGTACACAATGCACAAATCTGAAAGCTCCGCAGCCTCCTTCTGGTCTCATTCATCACCAAAGTCTTGAAATTTTCAGCTCCTACGAGTGGCACCAGCGGCTCCACCTTGTCTTTTTTATCCGTGGCAGCTGCTGCCACCGCCGCAGACCCATTTGCCTCACAAACCAAAAATACAAACATTTCAATCCACAGCATAGCATAAGCATAACCCAGAAAAAATCATGTGCAGTTTGACAGGAAAAAGTAAAGAGATCTAGGAAAGAAAGATATATAGTGGGTTTTGAAGAGAAACACTCACATGGGTTAAGCTTGCTTCAGTGGTAGTGAGAACAGTAGCCAAAAAGAGCAGGAATATGAGAGAGAAGGTGACCCCATGAGCAGGCATCATGGTTTCTTGAGATGGGCGTAGTACTTTGGTTTGGAAAAGGTGATGGGAATTTGGAAAGGGTGTGAGCTGTGAATGTGAAGTGGGTCTTGAATGATCTCTCTCTTTTTCTTGAGAGAGAGGCCTTGATTTGGGTTTTGGTGTATCATAAATGTTGAAGCTTTTTAATGGGTTCTGCTTAATTTATTAGGTGGTGTGAAATTCAGAGGATTGCAAAATGGTTGTTGCATATTTTTATGGAGGGTGGGAGAAGGAGATTCAGAAAATGAAGATGGAAGTGAAGTGTGGTTTTGTTTGGGTTTGGGTTTGGGTTTGGAAAAGGGAGGATGAGTGTGGTGTGAGTTTGCTCATTTCATTATGCCCTAGTGCAATGGGCATAGAGTCCCCCCTTAAGCACTAGTGCCTCTGCTGTGTGTCCACACATCTCTTGTAAAGTCGGAAGCTTTCTGCCACGTGGCAGTAAGTAATAATCATAAGATGAGTGTTTTGATTGTGCAATGGTAACATTTTTAAAATTATATTTTCCATAAGAAGAACGAATTATACAAGTGCAAGTGCCGACGATGGATCACAAGAAAGAATTGTAGCAAAAGATAATGGTGATAGCGATGGAGGAGGTAATAATAGCAGGCAGCAAGCAAGCAACGGTGACAAACAACTGGGGAGGGAGGCAGGCAGATCTTATACATATTTGTCTTGTGGGTTTGGAAAATGATTTCCATACTTACTTTTTTCTATTAGTCTTTGGATTTTTGCCTATTTTGCCTTTTCCCTTTGACTAAAAGAAATTATAGTGTCATAGCAACAAGGAAAAGGATCATGCGTGACAAAATATAACTGTCAACACTAATTAGAAAAGTGAAGCAACTTGCAAGCAAAATATATTCAAGCATTAGGCTGAGAAAAGCACAAGCATAGAGAGGAGGGCCATTCCAAACCTGACGGTGACTGCAGTGAAGATTCACCGGAAAGTGGGAGTGAGGCCATTATAATTTGCAACAAGAATTGATTGACATACGATACCCGCGAAGAGTAAATCACAAAGATCAGAAAAATTGGGATCTTGGACAGACAGAACAGAATGTTCACATTGGGTTTTCCAAATGTGACAATATTTGCAGATTTTTATACAATGAGCAATGTGAAATTCAGAAGGCTGAGCCTCTGTCAGCTGAATGCATTTTCAGGACATAATCAACTTGACATGTATTCTGTAAATTTCAAGCAATTTGGAAATCAATTTACAGATTACTCTTGTTTTAACCCCCAAAAGATTGTTAATGTAAATGGCTCGTTTTCGAGCAGCTTTCTTTCAGTCCTCTGTGTCAATATTATCATCTCCAGAAGGTATCTGCCTAGGTTCTGACAGTGAAAGTCTCCTGGGATTTGCTGATCCTGCTTCAACTAATCCTTCTGATGATAAATTTAATGAAGTGGTCGCTGACGTTGAACCCAACAAACGCCGGGCTGGGGCATCAGCCGAAGATGATGCATTTGGATTATATGTGAAGATACCCATAGGGTGGTCAAACTTGCAACTCGGACCGAACTTACAGATACCATAACGAGAATAAAAGATGCATAAAGGTTCTCCCTGTTGAAAAATTGTAACAGGTTAAACATGTAACATATCTTCAAATTAGACTATTTATTGGAAGATATAAAACGCACACAGAGACATCTCTATATAACAAGGGGTTATAGCTCAAGTCAAAATCATGAGAAGGAACATTCAAAGCAAGAAAAAAAAGTAAACAAGGAGTAAAACCCATTTGCAATTCCACCAAAAAAAAAGAAAAAAAAAAAGTAACTTACCGGCCGTAAAGGAAGGCCTATTGGACTCAAAACACAGTCTGGAGTAGGAATTAATCTCTCCCTAGGATGATGGAACCTGCAAACTGCACCAAACTTACAATCACCTGTCTTCATGTAAAACTGGCACTCAGGCTGGCCAGGTCTTTCAGGAAATACATTTTCCCTCTGCAATGCATAAAACCCTACAGGTATGGAGCCAGAACGATATGGAGAAAAGGTCCCTTGAGAACCTGAATTTTCCGGTTCACCTTGGCGTGAAGTTCCATAGATTTGACTGTTTCCCACTGGTTGCTGTTGGCTCTCTGGAGATGAAACAGAGCCAATCTGGCCCTGCAAAATTACCATAAAATAAGCACATTGATACTTCTCAGGGCTCCATAGAGCATGTAAACTCTCAAACTTAAACTTAAACTCAAACTCAAAAGCTGATGCATTAGAGATTTGAAATTGAGTGCAACAAAAGAAATTGCAGGCCATCCCCTCCTGCTTCATTCTCTGGTGCACATAGCATTTTGCACTGAAGGGTATAATAAAGCTTACACTGTATGCGCTCCAACCTGGGACTGATACCACTCCCTGAGGAACAATAAGAGGAGCGTAACTTGATGGAGCTTGCCAGCGTGGACTGGGAATAAAAGATGCTCTTGACCAATTTGTAATTCCTCCCGCATACGACTGCTGACCAGGAGTAGTTGGAGATTGGACAGTAGGATATACAGGAGAGCCACGCAATGAAACCATCATATTAGTAGGTTGTGGGTGGTGGTATTTACAAGTGCTTCCGAACTTGCATTGTCCAGTTCGTAAATAATAAGCACATTCAATCTCATTCTGCTAAAAAGAAAGGAAAAAAAGTTAAGAAATGTATAAACTAAGATGCACAGAGACGTCTGCAAATCAGATAGACATTTGCAGGTCTACAATATTCCTCAAACAAAAATGAAACAAAGAGATGAAAGTCAAGTCAAGTCACAATGAGCGAGAGGAAAACAGAAAAGCGAACCGGTCGAAGTGGATAGCCTAAGATATTTAAGGCAACTCTTCCAGCAATTCCTGCTTTGTCTCTAGGATGATGAAACTTGCATGTTGCTCCAAACTTGCAAGTTCCTGTCTTCAGGTAGTACTGGAGGGCAGTTCAACAAAGATTATTAGTATGTCACCAGAACCAAAATTGACAAGAATCACAGCACATTAAGATTTAAAGGAATATTACTATGTCACAAACACCAAACTTTGACAGAGATACATGCCTGACATTCAGGTTGTCCAATTCTTTCTGGGAACTCTCCCTTCATCCTTGCAGTGGCAATAGCCTGGTAAAAAACAGCAGCTTGTTATATATATAATTAAAAATAACAATTTCACGAAAACATAAAACCAAGCTACAAGAGAAAAAGATTCAATATAAGATACAGTAGCATGAAGTGTACTACCCTTGTGCATTCATGTATGGTTAAAAGAGTATCACATTAAACCTGAGTTCATGAAATTTTGTCTAAACATGGTTTAACTATACCAGCTTCCGGTTAGGAGGATGATTAAAGCGACATGTTGCTCCAAATCTACAAAGGCCTGTTCTGATGTAATAAGAACAATCTGGCTCTCCGGTACGCTCGGGATAGGACCCAGGTTCCAGTGTTTCACTTGATCTCAAATTCATTTGCCACATTGCATCTGAAAATAATGTATTACGAGTAAGTTCATTACATTGTATCAATACAAACTTATCGAAATGTAAATAACAGGTTCATTTTCAATGAGCCCACATCCTCTGGCTTCTGTTCCTATTTACTTACAGACTTAAAAAAAGACAAGTAAATAAAGAAATTCTGCCTTGAAGCTGCAGTTAAATTCACTGCTTGCAGGCTTAAAAAACAATGCCAAAGATTATATGTTTGGGAAATTCAGTGACAGAGATTATCTAAAAAGCTTTGAAGGAAGACAGTTCCTGAAAGCCGAATAGCAGAAGATCACATTTCATCTAAATTGGTTTTGTGATGAGGCCCCTCCTTACAATTTTGTACTAAAAGACTTTCCATGTTTGAGTTGTCACGGGATAGCTAAAACGACCATTATTGACAACTCCAAATTCCATATATAGCAGGCTATACAGCACATTATAAAAATTCAAAGCACGAAAGCAACAAATTCGCATACCAAAAAAGAAGCAAAATAACCACATTTGAGAAACACAAATAATTAATTAATTAAAAATAAGGTATGGTCTCAAATCAAGAGAACAATGCAAATTCATGCTGCCGGGGATCGAAATTGACTTGGTTAATTAAGATATGAAGCATTGGTCATATCTGAATCGAGTAAAGGAAGGGGCAAAACGGACAATTCAGATGAGAGGAGGCAGCCATCGTGATTGAGAAACAAGGAAACAATGGGAAAACAAGAGAAACATAAACAGAGAAAACAATGACAAGAAGTAAAGACAATGTTGAGGTGCAGATAAAGAGTTTAAAACGAGACCTTGGGTCAAGGAGGGTGACAGTGACGGAGCGTCGGTCACGGGCGCTGCAGCACGAGACATGGGAATTCCGGCATCGAAGTCCATGAGATGGCTGCTCCAGACGGCGGTCAGCCAGTCAGTCAGTCAGTCAGTGAGTCACAACCACCACCACCACGTCGTCACTCTAGCAAAGCCGACCGGAATTCCCATTCATTCACTCACCCTCCCCCCACCTACCTGTCGTCGTCACTCTAGCCAAATCCCCTCAACGATCAGACACTATCCCTCTCTCTGTCTCTCTATCTAAACCAGACAAAACCCGAGCAACCAAGACCACCAAACAAAAACAGAGCCAAATTAACAAGAATAACAGTTTCTAGAGAGAGAAACTTTTAGGAAGGGAGAGAGAAAGTTGTTTTAGGAGAGTCTGATTTGATGATGAGAGAGAGAGACAGAGAGAAAGAGAAAGAAAGAAAGAAGAACCAGAAGAGAGAGAGCGGTGTGTTCTCCTCTCCACAAACGAGGAGAGGAATAAAAACCAACCATCTCTCAACCAGACAGCTTTTTCACCCGCGTTTTGGAAATAAACGGACCAACCCCACGTTCTTCCCACCCCGCGACTGCCTCCTCTGCTATACTCGCTCCCTCTTAGCCACGCGTGCTCCTCCTCCTTACCTTTTCGCCGTGCTTATTGCTACTTCAGCTTTTATGTTCGACGTCAATGCCTAAACTAATTTTTTATTCGACACGTGGTCGACTTACGCAGCGAGTAGGTCCCGCTTCACGGGCTGCGAATATGCGCTACATTAAACCGGATACCAGAAACTCGGACCGCTTCTTATAACCTCTTTTACTATTTCCAGCTTATTTCTTTACATTTTCCAGTATCTGCTCCCTCTCTCAAATTTCGTTTATCAATTAATCTTTCATTTATGTGCTTTTTTTTTTTTAAATTTATAAATAATCGTTATCTTACTAGTAATCAGTATATATTATTATTAATGGGGAGGTTTTACTTTTGTTGGAAATATAATAAAAGGACGCCACATATTCAATTCTAGACATATAATATATTAAGCAGGACTTGTTGAAATTTTACTATTTTAATAAATAAAAAAAGTGGATATAAATAGTCAATAGCATTGATCCATAGTCGATGCATGAGTTTTGATTGGGCAGGTCCCTCCCCTTGATATTTTTATGCCACGAAGAAACAAAGCTTTACCTGAGCGCTCCCGTTGGAGCTTCTGGTTTTCCACCTCATTTCCTGCTTCAAAACCAAGTGACATCGCGATGGAAACATAAAAAACAAAAAAAGAAAGGGTAACCGGTCTTTACTATAGTTTTCCAACCTTTAAAAAAAGGGAAAATCAAAGGAACATACTACTAGTATTGTGGTTTGGAGTAATTGCTCTCCCATGTAAGGTTTTGGGTTCGAATCTTAACAGCCGTGTAGTATATTATCG